AGACCCATAGACTCACACAGAGACCCATAGACTCACACAGAGACCCATAGACTCACACAGAGACCCATCGACTCGCACAGAGACCCATAGACTCACATAGAGATCCATAGACACGCAAAGGCTCACACAACGAACACTAGACGGATTCAACTGGGTTCTCAGGGGCAGCAAGTTGATGACCTGATCCCAGTTACCAAACTGACCGCACAAAGAATTGGCCAAATTCCATATCCATGTTTGCCCGGCAAGTGCGCCCCCTGCTGTATGAATGATGTGATCGGCTAGAGGGGATTGTGATGGGTTGGACACGTGTAAAGATTTGAGAATAGGAAAAGCAACCTGTACGTTCAAAACTTCGCAGAAAAAAATCGTTGTCGATGTATCCTGTGTGGCCTTTAAAAAAAGGAAAACATTCGAATAGGTGACATTTCAAATAATGATCCTCCTTCATACAAGAGCCATAGCACATTTTCATTTGCTATGAAAAAAAGACATTGCCCGAAATGCTGCCTGTTATGATTTTTTCATTTAAGGCCACAGCGTTATTGTTGTGTGTCCCTAAATGTGTGTAATAAAGGACTTCGCCGACACACTGCTTGGTCTCCGTCACTCTTTATTCCCATTGACGCTCGCACTCCGCTGGTCCCGACAGCGGACCAGCTGCTCCTCGCGCGCGCCCCGCACGCGCTCTCCCATCAGTCGCTCCGCTCCCCCGCTCCCGCACACCGCTGGCCGACGGTGTGCTCCAAGCTCCTCCAGCCACGTGGCTGATGGCGCGGATCCCCTCCGGCCACCCAACGTGGTCCAGCTTCGTGACTCTACCAACTCCCCCGGAGCCCTTCCGGGATCCCACCTATATTCCCTTCACCACGTGATCCTGTCTCCTCCCTCTCACCACGCCCTTCACCGAACCTTCCAGATCCGGCCTCCGCATAGCGCCTTGCTGGCTCCGCCTTTAGGTTCCGCCCCTGCTCACCTCGCATCCGATTGGACCCGAGGTGAGCGGCGGACCTTCACATACTTGCCCCGCCCCCCAAAACTCTGGCCCGTATGATTGGCCCAGTGCCGAGCAGCGAACCCCACTTGCGCTCGTATTGCATGTGTTAAGTCTGTATCAACAGGTCTCGATGTGAAGACGGGCTGTCAGCGAGGCTGGGTGCAAAGACAAGGCGCCAGCAAGTCTGGAGGATCTTGTTTGGCAAATTTCCCAGAGGTCCTTGGTTGGGGAATTCCCCAGAGTGTCCAAAATAGACGACTGGGGAAATTCCCCCAAAGAATCCAAGAGGATAAAAGCAGGGCAAGAAGGGAAGTTCGGGGCTGTCGAGAGGGACTTGGGCCGTCGCCGCTCTCTTCACGCCATCACTGTCTTCACGTCGTCACTCTCTGCTCGGTCATACGATCTGCACGTCGGCATTATCTCATGACGACGTGGTCCTAAGCTACATTATGTGCAATAAAATAAAGATCTATAGCTCGAGTCCGGAGTCGTTACATATGTGCTAGTGGGGAGCGGTAGTGTGGCACTACGAACCTGGCTACCCGGGTTCGATTGCCGCTCACCGGTGACGATTATCTGAACCGATCCTGGGCCTCCCCTAGGTCGACTCAGCCTCAAATAAGTACCTGGTGTGGTGTGTAAACATCACCACTGGGGAGACAAAGGCGGCCGGGCGTGGTGCTGCCCATCCACCCCCTCGTGTGCCGTTCCGGGCTTCATAGGTGCTCGCTAACAGCATTTGCCACGACAATCTGTTAAGGGCTATACGGGGGATACGTCTTTGTAATTCTCTTTGTAATGCTGTGTTTGTGTGCACCTAATTCACACGTGTGTGTTCATCATGGGGCGCCACGGTGATGAGATGTTAACTACCTCGCCTGGTATACAGGAGCGCGTGGGTTCAATCCCGACCCTGACGCCATTATATATGTAGGGGTGATACGCGCTGGCAGTAGGGATCGTGGGGCAGTGCGTGGTGATTGGCTGTGTAGTGGTGACGCGCGCTGACAGTGATGGATCGTGTGGCAGCGCGTGGTGATTGGTTGTGTGCGCTGACACAAGCTGGGAAAAGAGATCGTGTGGCAGCGCGTGGTGATTGGTCAACTAGGGTGGGTGCTCACATCGAGGTCCGCATAAGCTCCGTCTCCCCGGGAGAGGAGGACTATAAAAGGCGATGCGCGCGGGCGCTCGGGGAGTTGGTGACCAGTGAAGACGGAAGACGGACGAGGAAGAGATAGGGCCCTGAGACCCCTAGTCCCGCTGTCCTTGTAAGGGCCGGGACCCTGTGTGGCTCAGAGGCGGGACCTTGGGACCCGGGGCCGGACGTCCGTGTGAGGGCCGGGCCACGGGACCCAGAGGTTGTGACCCATACCCAAGCTGGGGTGGGTCTGTAGGTTCCCCTGGAAGCTACGGGGCTGGAGAGCCCGTGTGTGTGTAGCCGGGTGGAACGTGTAGCGTGAGCTGTAGTGACCACACGTGTTATTGTGGCAAAGACAAGTGTTAATAAAGTGTGCTACCCGTCAAGTGGTCTCCCGCCGTAATTTACAATATTACATATATACGGAGTGGTATCTCTTGTAATCTCTCATTTACTTGATACAGCTGTCGGGCTGTGACGGTTCCACCTAAAGACGGAAGCTTGTGTTGCCTCCGAAACGTCGTGATTTTTTATTTTTATTTTACTTTTATTAATTTTTATTTTTTACCTACGTGACTTTACCGAAAAAACCTAAGAATATGAATCCTTGCAGTCACGAAAGCTTCAAATCTAGAATTAATGTATATTTGGAGTTTGCGTCTCTCTCTCTCTCCCCGTGGTCGCATGGATTTTTTTCTCCGGATCCTCCGGATGTCCCCTTCACATTTAGAATTGACGTGGGTTTAGAGTATTTTGCTACTATAAAATTCCACGTGAAAAGCCACTTTGTTGCGCTATCATTTGTGGCGAGGTCGCTTCTGAAAGAAGAACTACATCGCTCAGTGGGCCTTACCTGGCAAAATAAAACAAAAATAGCTTTAGGTTTTTATCATGCATCCACTTGCATTTCACTGAGGTCATATCCCACACTGCTCAGTGCTAATCACAAAATCCTGCAGTTTGTGTTATATTTAGATTATTTTGCTGCTATACATTTCCACATAAGCCATTTTGTTGAGCTATCATTTGTGGCCAGGTCGCTTCTGAAAAATAAGCTAATAGCTCACTGGGTTTTACATGTTAAGATGCAATCATACCTGTCAACTCCTTACCAGTGCCTACCTTGTTACAGACCAATTCAGACCTTATAGGTCACCCCGTGCCCTTATAAATCCCAACTATAAATCTCAACGTAATCCTACAAAGTCGTCCCATCACAAGAAACACAAATAGACAAAAACATGTTTTTTGCCCGAATTTAAACGGCTGTACGCATTTGCACCTGAAAACTCAATTTCTCTGTAAAAGAATACGGATAAACCGTGTGGTTTGACAGATGTGCAAAATTGGTTTAGTTTTAGTTGCATATATATTTATTAAGTGATTTCCTTACCTTTCATATACTTTGCACTTCTATCGTGTTCTTGTATCGTTTGTTGTTGTAATGTTCTTACCCCGTGTCCCCACTGGAAATCTGTGGGGGAAAAGAGCTTTATAGCTTCTAGATTTGAAGCTTTCGTGACTGCAAGGATTAAAACTCTTAGTTCTTTCGGTAAAGTCACGTAGGATTGAACCCACGTGCTCCTGTATACCAGGCGAGGTAGTTAACATCTCACCACCGTGGCGCCCCATGATGAACACACACGTGTGAATTAGGTGCACACAAACACAGCATTACAAAGAGAATTACAAAGACGTATCCCCCGTATAGCCCTTAACAGATTGCTGTGGCAAATGCTGTTAGCGAGCACCTATGAAGCCGGAACGGCACACGAGGGGGTGGATGGGCAGCAGCTTTATAGCTTTTCGGATTCCTCCTGTGTTAAATACATATTCTGATTCTGACATCGTTAAACAGGATTTACATTTTAACACGTAGGGTTTCGCGATCAATATCATCCATAATATAGGTTTTTTGGGGGGGTTAGATCGCGTAAATATGAATGTCGCCTGATGATGCCGGTTGTAATTACTGGCGAGAAACGTCGTACTCAAGATTGTCATTGTGGATTTGCTCTCCAACACACCGGTTAGTAGTGCTATGTTCTGTTCACGTGATAAACCCTTAATAATTGGCTGTGCCGGGTGGTGACGGGTTTAACGACACATATTTACGCAATCTAACCCCCAAAAAAACCTGTTTGTTTTGTTTACGTGACAAACCTTACTAATTGGCTGTGCCGGGTGGTGGCGGGTTTAACGAGACATTTAAATTTTGATTTAAAGCTTTCGTGACTGCAGGGATTCATATTCTTGGTTCTTTCGGTAAAGTCACGTAGAAAGGAAATAATATATTATTTGATATTATTTTATTATTTCCAGACTACGTGACTTTACCGAAAGAACCAATAATATGACACATTTATATATTTACGAAATCTAACTCAAAAAAAACCTGTATTATGTTGTGTTTACGTAACAACCCCTTTCTAAATTTCGATTTAAAGCTTTAGTGACTGCAGGGATTCATCTTCTTGGTTCTTTCGGTAAAGTCACGTAGAATGGAAAAAATATATAAAACATAATAAAATAATATTATAAAATAATAATAAAAAAAGTATTGTTTTATTTTTATTATTTTATTATTTCCATTCTACGTGACTTTACCGAAAGAACCAAGAAGATGGACCCCTTTCTAGTTGGCCGTGTCGGGTGGTGGCGGGTTTAACGACACATTTATATATTTACGCCAACTAACACAAACAAAAACCTCTATTAAGGATTGACATTGTCAAGGTTTGGCATGGGGCCACGTGCTATGGCACCCCCCCGCCCGCCGCCCCCAAACCGGAACACCCGCCCCCGTCCCCCCCCACTTGTGTTTCCGGTCGTAGCTCCGCCTCTTCCGGTTTTTTTTACAGTGCGCACTGTACTTGGTTTGGCGGTGGTCCCTTCGTTCATTGTGAAGAATTGAGTCTCGGGACGTTCGATTTAAAAAAAGTATTCAACCCCCACCCCCCCTAACATAAGATTACCCTACACGGGGGCTTGAACCTCGGGAGGACCTCCTTAGCCGAACGTACGTCGGGTGAGTGAGGCGCGTTTGTGGGTGGGCGTTTGATACATTTTTTTGTCTTCGCTGAGGCAAAAATCCAATCGCGATGGCTTTTCATTTTGATTTTTTTTAAACGCACGCGTTCTCCTGCGCGTTCGTCTCTTTACACACTTTACCCACCCACAGTGAGAGAGAGAGCGACTCGTTTCACGTCAGTATCGTCGACATTTCCTCGTGAAATATACCTTCCCCCCCCCCCCCCCCCCTGTCTCTCTCACACTCCTCCACAGCGAATTAATCGCAATTAAAATCAACACAATGACCGAAAGAGACTAATGAGGTCAAACAAAAAAAGGTTCGCTCGGTTTGCATCCAATTCCTCTACCCCCCCCGCCCCCCCGCCCGCCCGGCCATAGGAATGTGGAATTTCCGTAAAATACTTGTCGGCAGATGATAATTGTAGCAAACCACTTTCATTTTTGAATGCATTGACAAAAAAATGCCTTTCGTTGTCCTGCAGTGGGTTTAAAGTTCATCGTTGAAATGTTAATGCGATTTCGTCACGCGACTTGCCTCGATTGGGGAGGCCTACCTACCCACCTACCCACCTACCCACCCCCGTGTCTGACAGACGGTGAGGTTTCGGAACCATACTTCACCACCCACCCCCCCCCCCCAGCCTGTGAAGGTGGAAGAAATGGGGGGGCCGGTTTATAGAGAGTTCATATCGACCGTTCGCCGCAGATCTTTCTCAGTGGCGATCGAAACATTGAACTGTGTGCGATGGGTCCGACACACCGCGGCGTGCGAACACCAACTTCCTTGTGATGTATCGCCACGCTCCTCGTGTTTTCATTTGTGCAACCGGAGATGGTGTGTACGGAATCTTGCTCGCTTGCTGTTAAAACTACAGCAGTTTTAGTTTCTTGAGGGGGGGGGGATCGGTAGTTTTTGCCTGAGCGTCGTGTCCGCTTTGTTGGCGTAACCCCCATCGGTTTTGAGAGGAGATGCCACTCGATGATTGAGCTACGAGCGCTTCGGTCGGAATTCCCGGCGCGTTGTTGTGCGCGCACAACGTTCAGTTTCTTTCGGCTCGTCGGGAGGAGCGTTTGAAGGACGGCGAACAAAAATAATCGGTGTTCACGAGAACGCCGATTATTTGTGTTGTTTTAAACGTCGACCTTCAAGGTCACGGCTACAAAGGATCCAATCACGGAGAGCTCAGAGCTCAAAACAATGTCCCGATCTCCTCGTCACGTTGGACGGGATGACCCCCACACACAGATGCAACGCTTTGTGGGTCAGTCGGGACAATCCGAATGTTTGTTTGCCTGTCCAAACATCACAACGCTGATGAATAGATGAACCCGAGTGAGTCCACGCTTTTGTAGTCAAGAGCAAATGTAAGTAGAGCTCCAATTCTACGTCTTCACGTGAATACGGGCATAGAGTTTCCAGCCACCAGCTCCCCCCCCGTTGCGGCTTTGCTCAAGAGCAGTGACTTAAAGCAATGAAACCCTGGAATCGTTGAGACATTCTGGGGCACATCAGCAGTTAGGCCTTTTTAAACACGGTATTTGGTGTTAATCCATCGGCATTGTTGTACAATTAACGACCAAAACAACTCATCGTGTTCGTTAACAACACCGCATTTGCAGGGGAAAATATACGATAGGCTCTAGATTTGAAGCTTTCGTGACTGCAAGGATTCATACTCTCAGTTCTTTCGGTAAAGTCACGTAGGTAAAAAAATGAAATTAAAATTAATAAAAAAATAAAATCACGACGTTTCGGAGGCAACACAAGTCTCCGTCATCAGGTGGAATCGTCAGCCAGATTTGCTTGATGCAGGCAAAATGGCCCGTCATAGGCAGTTACGACGTTTTAAACGTATTGCCGCTGGATTAAACGTTTGACTTCTATTTGCTTTTGCCACTCGAAGTATGCTCCCTCCATGGCAACACAATCGGGCCGTGTGTTTAAAAGGCAAATTCACATTCACGACAATTCTCATTGCAACGATTCGGTAACTGAATGAGTTGTGTGCACACACTGAGAACCTCATTCACACAGTCCAAATAAAATATTTAGAATGCATGCACAACTGTTTCCGATGCTAGTAACTATTTGCTCCCCTGTAGTCTATTGTTAATAATCACCCGGTGCCTAACCCTCGGCTACACCAAGACGATTGAGGCGTCTGTAATCCTCAACATTTCCTGGATGAAATAACAAACCTACATTTATTCTTCATCTGTTATTTTTTACTGAAGCAGCAACCTCATAAGTCACCTCGGTAAGTACATTAATCGATTTAAAAAAATTATTTCACAAATCATTATCCGCTGAAGTCGTTACGTTTTTTTTTTAATTCCTGTTGCTCTACGAGTCTTAGTCCTCACCCTGTACCGTTCCCGTTCTGATGTAATGTTGACCGATGCCTACTTTTTGTTTGAGGGCGGTATATTGGCACGTGAAATCAAGATTGATTGGCTTACAGCGGTGACCACGGTGGTTAATACTGAGCAGCGAACCCGGCAACCCGAGTTTGATTCCTGGTGGCGAGCGATTTCTAAACCGATCCTGTGCCCACCGACTTCGCTGAACTCCACACAAGTGGCGCGGTGAAGTTAGAATAACCACCAACAGGGCTTGGGGAAGCCCCTCTTCCATAAGTTAATTAATTAAGGGCAGTAAAATATTATTACAGTTAAGTAAAGTTTAATTCGCAACGACAACAGGGAACCACATTTTAATAATACAATATATAAAGTAGTAAATGTGCTAAGTTCGAGTAAAATTTGTATACATTAATTCGGGATTAATGTCATCGCCAGGGTGCAAACCCGCATTTCGGCTTGGGCCTGTGCTTCCTCTAAGTCGACTCGGTCGAACGCAGGTACCACGTGGTGCCGTGGCGTTGAGTTTGAGATAAGGGGCTACCGGATGCGCTTGGGGTTTTTAACGTGCCCGCTGAAAGTGAAGGCGTCCGTGAGACCGATTGTTTGTTTAAGTTTTGCCAAAAAAATGTATCCCGATTGTGCTCTGTGCATGATTGCTGCACGAGATGGAAAAGTCTACAACTCGGATAGCTGGCAGGGGCACGCGCTCCCTTCCCGTGCCAGACAACTGCCCACGAAGGTGAAAACAAGTATAACCCGTAAAAACAAAGTTTTTCACTATAAATCCTTTATATGCGTGGCGGCTAGAGTCCTCTCGTCCTCTGGCTTGAGATGGCTGCCACCTATGGGTCAGATGATTGCATTGCACCATTAAGCAATTGGTAATTAAATATAATATTTTAGTCCTAAAAAGTGTAAAATTTTGTATTTTTTTCCCCCACAAACATTAATTGTCACGCACAACGAGTCTGTGTGGAAAATGTCAGCTCGATTGGATCACGGGAAGTGGGTTAAAAAACGACCGAAAGATTTGCACGGTCGTAAGGAAGCAAGCAAACTTAATATAAAGGATTTAAAAAAAACACACAAAGGAGCTACCTGAGGTGCTTTCCAAGTGACCTCTGGTCCAGATAGTAGAACGCAGCACTTTCCCGCCCCCTCTTGTGACCATAAACGTGTTTCTTTTATTCTCGGAGATGGATTTTAGCAAAATAAGTGCAGAACCAAATTTGATTTCGGTTTTGTAGGTGCCGTTTTTGGTAACAACTAAACCATCAAACTCCCACGTTACATTTGAGAACACAGTTTAATCACATGTCGCTCAAACCTGGATTCAAGGCAACGGTGTCAGCAGTGCTGGCTTGTCTCTCTGACTTCTGAGCCACCCTGCCACACCAATGTGGCATGATTGTAAGAATAGGCCATCATGATACAGCGTTAATAGACAGAAAGACAGACTGGCAACACACACACACGTATGTCCTGTTTGCACGGTACACGCTGTAACACGTGTCTGAATTTAAGTTAACATGCTTCTGTAACAAAAAAAATTTACTCCAAAAAAATCGGCTGCAGCCTGATTTTTCCAGGCCGATCTTGTGTCACAACCTGGCATGAATTCCTGACATCGTAGAGGAAGATACGTCACCAGGCATGTCTAACACAGCTGTTGTAGGCAAGGTGAACACTTAATTTTGCGTTTAAATGAACCATGAATACGGCCGCGTGGATTTTTTTCCGCAGTCGGGCTGCGTGGCTCTCTCGCGTGTTTCCGCGTCGTGCAGCGAAACACGTGGTTGTTCGGCACGATGTCTGATGTTTCGCCACTCACGCCGGGAGCTTCTTCAGAGCTGCATTAAGTTCAGTTCGACAAGGCGTCGGAGGGCTTTTTAACAACATTTCAGTTTGACATCAGCGCCGTTCTGATCTTCGACTTGAGTGTTTCTCGGTTAGACTTTAACCGCTCGCGTGACGACCTTAAGTAACTTGGAAATTAATGAAAGCTGCATTTTTGTTGTTGTTGCCTACTTGAGTATCGAGCTGACCTTCACCTCGAGTTCTGGGATTAATCGGGGCCGACTCGGTCATGTGTCCCATGGAAACAAAGTATTTTTTCCTTTGAGCAGAGAGACGGGCAGCTAGAGACAGGCAGGCAAAAATATTGTGACAAACAGACAGACTGAGAAACAAGTATACAGACAGACAGACAGGCCGGCTGGCTAAGAGTGATAGGCTTGAGAGGCATACATACGGAAAGAGTGAAAGACATTCAAATTCGAACTGACACTGTGATAAGACGGGAAGGCTCCTCTGAGCCCAAACACTCCACCTGTCCGGTCAGACCAGTTTGGAGGTCACTGGGTTTTAGTTTACCATTTCCTCCTGGCAGCTCAAAAAAAAAACAATTCTCTAATAGCCCGAGCATTTCAAGCATACAATTTTTAAAGCAAGGAATCAAATAAATGTTGAACGGGCACGCGATCGGTGAATGCCTTCACAACCTCTTAAGCGGAAATGCATGTGCTTCGGGTCGCCGGGTTTTTTTTGAGTCCGTCAAAAACATGGGGCGGGATAAAACCTGACTGGGGCTCCTCCAATACCTGCCTGCAGCCAGCGGCCACAATTAATGCC